ATTATTTAAATACAAAGAATTATACTTAATTTAATAATCAACTAAATTAAAATTATTAAACGCATAATTTATTAAACTAACACTTAAATAAATTTTTTAACGAAAAATTAACTTAATTAGCAAATAAAAAATGCTTATAATAATAAATCAAATTTAACTAACGAATAATTACTCAATAAATAATAAAATGACAATAATTAACAATTAAATTTTTTAAATAACAATGATTAAACTAACTAAGAATTAAAAAATAAATAATTAAAAATCATAACACAATTAACTATTAACAACAACAATTACACTAACAATTAACATATAAATAATAAACAACAAGAAGAATTAATAATAATTAACAACAACAATTAGTACAAAATTAAATAAATGAAAAAATTACTTAATGGGTTACCAATAACAAAATTTGAGGATTAGAGATGGAGGAGATGTCGTCAAGAAGGAGGAGGAGCCGCTACCGTGGTACTATTCACGATGAAAAGGGGTGAAGGGAGGAGGAGGAAAGGGGGAGAAAGAAGAAGAAAAGGGAGGAGGAAAAGAGGAGAGATGGAGGGGAAGAAGAGAATAAGAGAAAGGAGGAGATTTAGAGGAGATATGGAGCTGCAATGGAGGAGAGAACTCGCGGTTAGAAGAAGAGGAAGAAGAGAGGAAAAAAATTTTGGGAAAAAATTTCGAGTCGGTGGGGTTTTAGAGATTAAAACTTTTAGCGACGGAATTAATTTCATCGCTAAAACCATCACTAATTAATTCAAATTTTCAAAAAAGTAGCCGTTTCCCTTCAACGATCATAAATTATCGACTATTTTTTAAAACCATCACTAATTTAGCGATATTAGCGACGATTTTTTTAAAAACAGTCGCTAATTACTAAATTCACTCGTAATTAATGAAAAATAGCAACGGTTTACCTAAACCATTACTATTTTTGACTGAATTTTTGGTCATTAGCAACGGTTTAATTAAACGAGTTGCTAATGATAAAAAAATTTATTTTATTTGTGACGGTTTGCCATAAACCGTCGCTGAAAAACAATCTTTAATCAAAATCATTCTTGTAGTGATGTTTATATATATATATATATAACATGGAGGAATTTTAATTATTAGGTTGGTCATGGACATGTAACTGTCTAGCTTATTTAAGAAAAGGAAAACCTAGTTTATTTAGGAAAAGAAAATAAATATTTAGTAAATAACTGTATATGGATCAATTAAAAAACATTTAACACGACTGTAATTTCTTTCACACGTGAACCAATAAAAAAAATTAATTTTCATCACAAACGTTATAGCTTACAAGCATTATTTGCAATTCTTATAGTTTTGTTACCACCTAATTAAATCTTCAAAGCAACACGTACTCATCTCAAAATATAATAAAACCATTTCTATTATTCTTAATAAGTTCCAATTATTAAATTAACTTTCATTAAATGTATGTTAAAAAAATTATATTTATATCAAACCTCAATATTCTTGCAAAATCTATAATCTAATTTGATATCCTGATACTATATGGTTCAAAATTTTGATTTAATAAAAGGGATTCAATAAATATTTTTTCTATGTATGTGATTCACATTTTTATATTTAGTAAATCTAATCAATAATTTAACAAAAGTTATAATAATACACCATAAAATTTATTGATAAGTTAATGTCTAATCTAAAATATTTTATTTTAATTCTTATCCAAACATATATCGTTCTTCTTAGGTACATTTATGGTGTTGTTTTTTTCCTTCCTCTTCCGTTCCTGTGTAGTCATTAATTAGATTTTCTAAAATAATAAATATTAATGACAAATAAATTAAGTGACAAAAATAACTATATCCTTAATAAAAATTATAGGATTATTAGTTTATTGACATTATTATAAAGCAATTGGATTTTATCATTTAACCAGTTAATTTATTTATTTTTCTTGAAAAGTACTATTTTGTAGCCTATATAGCGAACTACCTACCAATCAACAAAGACTTAATGACTATTTCTTTTTCTCTCTCTTTTTTAGGGAATTTAAGGATATAATAGGAATACAACACATGTTACACCTTTTTCGTACTTTTTCTGATATATATATATAGTTCAATAATAATAGTCTCTGATAAAAATTTAGATGTGTAAATTAAAAAATAATAATTAAAAAAGTCAGTCGTAGTTCAAATATTTGAACTAAGAATAGTTGTTTTAAAATAGGTCAGAAATTCTTAAATGTTGAAGCAATAACTACTTCGTTTCAGAAATTTAATGATTGATTGTACCTCTTTATGAACACATGACCGATAATGGATAGATTGTCTTTTTTAAAAAAAAAATTAATTTTTGTTCTCTTTTGAAAGCATTCCTGGATTTTGGAACTGAGCTTTCTTAAATCACGGGAACAAAGTCACGAGTGATTCACGAACAAACATTGTGATATACATCTATATGTTATGACACCATCTTCTTGAAAAAGAGATCATGCTATTTAGATTTATCCATTTACATGTCCTTCTATAGCCACAAAGAATATCCTTTGCAACACAAAATCCTGGAAGATACAACTTTTCATTTTTCATTTTTAATCTCTTCTTAATCGTATTTTATGTATATCATTGCATCCGAATTTTTATATCTCTGGCTTTTTAAAAAAATTTGCAACAAAAAAATATTATAAAAAAAATTCATTTATCAATGAGCAAACTAACACTTCATTGTTAAAAAGAAGAAAAAAAGAAGATAAATTAATATGGTTAGTTTTAGGAGAGGCGTAATCATCTGAAAAACATACCTAGAATGTGCCAATGATCCATCAGCTTATAATATAATTGTTTATTTTTCTTTTAAATCTAAACTCTGCATTTTTAGTTCTGTTCGAAAATTTGGTCAAACTCTCCTTGTTTTCCTCTAAATAATATGAAAATGTTGACAATTTAATCTTATTTGGTAAGAAAATAATTAAGTCAAACACACACAATATTAAAGAATATAAAATAAATTAATTATAAAAATACAATCATAAAAAATATCCAATTTACATAAATAAATAAAAACTATCTCTATCCTATAAAAAAAACATATGACTAACTTCGAAATAATTTCATATAATTAAGAAAACAATACAATCACATCAATTTTTTTATAAACTTATAATCATTTAATTTCTTTTAAATTTGAGAAATAAAAATATTGATATTAATTACCTTACTAATTAAATCTGTCAAAAAAAAAAAATGTGAATCTCACTTTAAATAATGTAATTATCTATGGTTGCAGTGACCAAAATACTAGAAAAAGCCACCATATTTAATGTTGGATGTGATCTTTTAACTGCCACTTGTTCCAATGGATGAATGAAATATAAAATAAAATATTTATAATATTTTTTTAAAATATATAAAGAATTTTAGTAAAAATTTTAAACTTTTAAATAATATTTATAATTTTATAATACTATAAAAGAATTTATTTTATAAAATTTTTAACTTGACTTGATTTGTATCTTTAATAGACCCAAAAAGAAAAAAGAAAAAAAAATCCTTGGATGACAATTCTTTCCAGATAATGATATCAAATTTTGTAAATAAATTAAAGTAGTATTTTTTTTTTTACACTAATCGCTTAAAATTTTCAAGAGTAGGAAGGGTGAATTATAAAAACACTAAAAAAATAAAAAAAGAGATAATTAATAGAATTTAAATTTTATTAAGATTATTTGGAAATATTCACTTAAAATGTAATTAAAAGAGGTTATTTTGTCTTTTAGAAGGCTTTTCTTGGATATTCTGTGGTCTGTACACCACCGATAGCAACTTTACAGTGTCCACAACAGAAGTATAATACCCGAAAAAACTAAAAATGCAAAAAATTAAATCAAACTATATACTGCAGCAGTCACAGAAGCCCTGTGTTACTGAAAGCGCACTTAAACACCCCCCTCTCTCTCTCTCTCTCTCTCCTCGCGGTGTTGTTGGCTGTCTATATACAGCCAAAGCAGAAGCTGTGAGAGAAAGAAAAAGAGAAGAAAAGACTTTTAAGTGAAGAAGAGAACTCCTCTATCATATATGCTGTAAGTAGTGCTGTGCATGCACTAACAAATGCATATATAGAGATCAAAACAGATAATGTTTACTCCGATGTTTTTCTTTTCCGAATAGCTAAGGCATGTTGCATTCACTTTGATGTTTCTTTCTTGTGATTACTGTGGTTATGGGATGATTTTGTTGGTAATATGTGCATGCATGTGGTGGGGTTTTAGTCAATATATAAATAGCTTGTTGTTTCACTTTCTTGTTTCCCTTTAAAGAATTCCCAGTTTTGGTTTCAAAGTTTGTTCTCTTTCTTTCCTTGTTCCTTCCTTTTCCCTGTTTATGCTTTTTTTTTTTCTTGTCTTTTCCTGTGTATGTTGCAGGGATCTTACATGGGTCTTTTTATTTATGTGTTGTTTTATAAACCCGGCACAAGCAAATTAAGAAGATCTTGAGACTTTGAGCAAGATCTTTCTCTTCTTATAGGTGATATTGTAAATGGCATGTGCTGTATTTCATCAGTTTTTCTATCTGACCCTTGCTTTAATGATCTTTATGTTGGTGTTAAATAAATGATCCATCCAGCCATGCCAGCATGACTAATCCAGACTCTCTGATTTTATATATTTTTTTAAAAAGTCATGCATTTAGAGTCTGAACCAATGTTCTGTTTTCACCGGAGACTTGTTATGTGGTGATTTTAAAATGTTGATTTTCTTGATTTTTTTTTCAACTGGAAATTTCTTGTTTAAGCAACAATTGTTTTTTTCAAATACTGGGTCTTTTTCTTTGTTCTTTTTCTCTTTTATGAATTACTTAGTCCTTTGGTTTGTTTAACAGTATAGGACATCAGATCAAGTAGAGATGATTTTGATTTAAAATTCATGTTCTTGTGGGTCAAACAGAGTTGGTTTTGATGCAGTTAAGAAGTAATATTGGAAACTTTTCGGTGGCCTGAGAAACGATGCCAAGCAAGCTATGGTTTGCACCACTAATGATTTATCAGCTTGGAAGGATTTTCCAAAGGGCCTCAGAGTCCTCCTCCTCGACGAGGATAGCAGTTCCACTGCCGAGATAAAATCAAATCTGGAAGCAATGGACTATATTGGTTAGAGATTTTGTTACTCCCCATCTTTCTTCACCATATGCCTTCTTCTTTTTTCCCCTCTGGTAGAAAATTTACTCACACTGTTTAATTTCATTTCTACCTACTTTTCTCGACAAACCAATCCCCATCTTTGTCGAAAAAGGCATCTCCAGTGGTCCATATCTTTATATAGTCTGCATTGATGAATGATTATGGAATTCATAAATTGTAAAAAATAAACTAATTATTTGTACAAGTTGAAAATGATGATGACTGAGATCTGTGAATTGAAACCAATTTCTTGCAATGATCAAACGTACTACTGAAAAACGGGGTTGTTTAAATGATGGACAAAACCAAAAAGTCCTCTTTACAACATGGAGGAACTTTTTCAGATGGTAAAGAGAAGTGGTAAATTTTAATTACGTTTAGGCATTTTCATTCTCAGTGTTTCAGAACTTTTAGGTCAAGTGGTGGAAATGTGAGAATGTCTACTCCTTTTCAATGTTACATAGTAGCTTTTTTTTCAAAAAAAAAAAAAATTGGCCAGTTTGTTATTGCCCATTTCAACATCATTCTACCAAAAATTTAATTTAGTATTATCTCTCAATGCAAATTACAGCTTAGGAAACTTTAGGATGCTGTTATACCACATTTTGTGATATTAAAGCTACATCATTTAGCTCCCAATGCAAAGACGTAGTTGCTTTCCTTGAAATATTAATAAACTTGTTTGTTTCTTGGTCTACTTTAATATTTATCACTTTTTGTCCTGTAATGTTATAGTAATGTATTCTCTCCTGTTTGAATCTCTCTGCTTAACCTCACCATACCTTTTTCAGTTTATACGTTCTGCAATGAGAATGAAGCCCTCTCAGCAATTTCAAATGAACCTGGAAACTTCCATGTTGCTTTAGTGGAGGTAATTCCCTTCTGTCCAAACACAAAGTTCTAATACTTTGTGAAATTTAAAATTGACTGCACAGCTTTGAGAAAACTATGAACCTTGAAATGGCATACTGTTAACCGTTTTCACAGTGATCGCTTCATCTAAGTGAATTGACCTATATGGATTTAATATTGATTAATTGGGCCCAAATATGGTTGGATTGGCCGAACTGGAATAGCTATCTAATAGCTCCTATGGTCACAGGTGAGTGGGAGCAATGTCAATGGGAGTTTCAAGTTTCTAGAAAATGCAAAGGACTTGCCAACCATTAGTAAGTTCATATATACCGTTAATATTTCATATATATGAGAGTAATGTTTTTAACATGTACATCTTTTAGCTCTTCATGTTTTGGTTGCTTTTCTCATGCGTTCTTCGTTTTCCTTCAGGAAACTCAACTATATCAACTTGGATAGACTTTCATCAATATAATTTAGAGCTTCTAATGCAGTATGAATTTATGTTCTTTTTCAGTGACTTCGAACATTCATTGCCTGAACACCATGATGAAGTGCATAGCGGTAAGAAGTTTACTAATCAGTGTTGTAATTGTATACTAAGCTTCCCATACTGAAATGTTCGATGCTGCAAGGTTTTTTCAAGTTTTCATTGTCTGCTTTGGTTCTAGTTCTGTTTAGTTCAGCAATTGAAGATAATTTCATTCAACTTTTAGCACTTGATTGGATTTTGACTTTGAGTTTTTGCTTCATATAAGAACCTGGAGACATTCACGAGGCCCCATGATCATTTAATGTATTTATGTGGCAATTTATTTTCAGCTTGGTGCAGTTGAGTTCCTTAGGAAACCACTCTCTGAGGATAAACTGAGGAATATATGGCAGCACGTGGTTCACAAGGTTTGTTTTAATTCTGTTAACTTTACATAAGAACTTACTTTTATGATCTCAATGCTATGAAAAGAATCTCTGACTTCATTGATCCTGAGCAGGCATTTAATGCAGGGGCGAGTGCTCAATCCGAATCACTGAAGCCTGTAAAGGATTCTGTAGCTTCCATGCTGGAGCTCAAAGTGGAACTTCGACAAGCTGAGACTGAGTACATGGAGAAAACAGAAAATGTGTCTCTGGCTCAGGAAAGTAATGAGCATCAATCACCAGCTAGTGATAAGTATCCAGCTCCTTCAACCCCACAATTGAAACAAGGAGGGCGGCTGCTGGATGATGGGGATTGCCAAGACCATATTAACTGCTCAATAGAAAAGGAGAGTGCGGAGCAAGAGGGGGAATCTAAATCTGTCGAAACTACTTATGCCATGTCTCAAGAAACTCTGCAGTTGGGGGATCCTCAGAGCTTTGTAGAGACTGTGATCAAAGAGGAGGATAACTCAACTGACGGCGTCAAGATTGAGAACAACATATGCCCCAATCCACAAAATAAAGATGGTCTCAAAAATTCAAATGGAGGTGCCAAAAAAGCTTCTGGTCTTCATAATTCCTACAGGACTAGAGCTAATAGAAAGAAGATGAAGGTGACTCTGATTATTCAGAATATCAAATACTTTTGAAGTTCCTGATCCCTTCCTAAGGCATAATCATATTACCTTTTTTTATTCCCTCTTCAAATCGTCCTAAATTTATAAAATGCCTTCTCCAAATGATGCCACCTCAAACTGCTCTGAAGTTTAATTCTTTCTTTCTTTTCTTTTTTTTTTTTCCTCTTTTTTTGTTTCTTATCATATTTCCCTCCAATAAACGCCGTTCAAGACTTTTTCGACCTTCATTTGTTTTTTGTTGATTTGCATCAGAAGTAATGTCACAAGCATTAGCATCTCCTATATTTGGATTTCTTCAGTTAGAAAAAGCATATGCTTTCCTAATTTCATCGATGTGATTGCTATGTGGTTATTGTTGTTGTTTTTTTTTTTTTTTCCTGAGTTTCAGGTAGACTGGACACCAGAGCTTCACAAAAAATTTGAGCAGGCGGTGGAAAAACTAGGTGTAGATCAAGCGATTCCTTCAAGAATATTAGAGCTAATGAAAGTGGAAGGCTTGACAAGGCATAATGTAGCAAGTCATCTGCAGGTTCGTAGTAAACTTATCCTTAACAATTTTTCAGCTTCTGTTCCGACAGAAGTCATTATATTTTTATTTGTTAGAGGCTCTTATAGAATTTACTTTTGCTGTTAAATCTGCCGCTAGCTTCTAGCTGGAAAGAAAAGTTTTATAGTTGGCTCTCTAGTTCATTCCATGGTCTGATCATTTTATGACTAGTGGAAGTAATTTCCATTGGTCTGTACAGTGAAGAGGATAGAGATGCATTTCCCATTGTCGTTGCGTGATTGCACTTAAACTATGTTTCTTAATCTTTTGAATGTTATTTTATAATTATTCTTTTGTTCCATTTCACATAAATTCATACTCTGGTTAATTAAAGACCATTGCCTGTTTTCTAGCAGAAATATCGAATGCATAGGAGACATATTTTGCCCAAGGAAGACGACAGACGGTGGCCGCAACATAGAGATCAAGTGCAAAGGAGTTACTATCCACATAAACCTATCATGGCATATCCTCCATATCATCCTAACCATGCTCTCCCACCACGTCCGGTCTATCCTATGTGGGGAGCAACAGGTAGTCACCCAGCTGGTGTGCACATGTGGGGCCCACCCGGCTACCCCCCATGGCCGACAACAGAAAGTTGGCACTGGAAGCCTTATCCAGGGGTAACTCTTGTTATATTCAACACCATAATAGAGATTAATTAATTAATTTTTTTCTTTGGCATGCTTTAAAACTGATGGTTTAAGCATTTTCTGGAGAACTCTGACTGCAGCCGCTTGATTTGTGCACTTTTTTATATTTCAGATGCACGCAGATGCATGGGGTTGCCCTGTGATGCCACCACATAGTCCTTATTCTTCCTTTCCTCAAGTAAGTATACCTTTGTACGGTTCATAATCTGTATTCATTTGTGTACATGCCTCTTATCATGGTATTCATAAATTCTTGGTTTGGAAAATGCAGAATGCATCTGGGTCTCAGAGTGCCAGCATGGTCAATAACAGCTGTGGCGTGACACAAAAGTCTTTTGACTTACAACCGGTATGGAAACATTTTACTGCACTTGATTTTATTCGTTTTTTTTTTCCTGAGAAATCTCTGTATAATGGTAGATTGCATTCAAGACCGGATATTTTAAAAGTTGATCACAAAATGTGGTCTAGTTTATGTAGCAAGAGCATGATAGTATGACTTGGGTGGGTGTCACATTTCAGCTTTTGGGCTCTCTCTTGTGTTCAGTAAGTCAAATTGTGTATATACATTCATAAAAAAGGGATTTTAACCTTGCAGCATCAAATCCTTTTGGTAATAAATTTTAGGACAGCATTGTATGATGTGTCGATGGAAGATGTCAAAATTCTGAGTGATTCATGCTTCCAAATGCTGTGTAAAACACAGCAGGCGAAAGACTATTTTGGTTTGTTAACGAATGCGAGTCCGATTACTTAGCCCAATGGTCTAACAATGGCAGCAAAAGATTGCAGTTGTTGGTTACGGATGTTCTTCAGGCCAATGACGAGGGTTGCAATATATCGTTTGCATGTGCAAGTTGCTAGGGTAACATGGATCCAAAATTCAAATATGCCACCATCTCATAGTCATCGCTCACTATTTCTCATCTTTCATGCAGGCCGAGGAGATAATCGACAAGGTAGTGAAAGAGGCAATCAACAAGCCGTGGCTGCCGTTGCCCTTGGGCCTCAAGCCCCCGTCTACCGATAGCGTCCTAGCGGAGCTCTCCAGGCAAGGCATCTCATCACTTGCTCCCCCACATTAACGGCTCTCATTCCTTCTAATGTGGTGCCATTTCATCAGATTATGCTAGCTGATTCCAATTCACCCGTCCTTCATCAATCTTATCATCAAAAGATATACAGACTCGACCAATCATAACAAATTTTTCGACCAATATAATTTGACACGTACGTAGCAAATTCTCAATTGGCTCGAGACTGTATATCTTTGACAGATAAGTCAGTGTCTTTCAAGTACACATGCTGGAGCTGACATCAGGCCACATAAGGAGACAGCCAAGAAAGGCCTCGCTGATCCCACATCCATCGGCACAGTAAAGAGTCCTGTCGGAAGTGGCAGCACAAACGGCTATGAAAGAGCCATGTAGCTGCATTATGCACCTCATGTCAAATTTGTGGTTGTGAATAGATCCTAACGAAGGGCGGGTTGGCCTTCTGGGTTTTTTTTTTTTTTTATTGATGTTGATAAAAAGCATTAGAGCTTTTGTACGAGACGTTGCTGATGGGGTCAATTTTTGGTCTTTATTCAGTAGGGCCTAATTGCTGTCTAATAATGGGCGTGGGAAATGGGGGAAATGTTCTGCTGTACTACATGGACTTTGTGAATAAAGTTGACACGACTTGACATAGAATCTTTAATGCATGCTGACTTGTATTCTATCACTGACAGTTTTTGAATGGAGTGTACTTTGTTGAGAAATTGCCTAGCTTTTGTTGATCGTTTTTTCCAGACTAAGCTGTTACCCTTGGGGCCAAGCATTTAAGTTTAATTTGAGTACTGTTTTGAATTGCTGGAATGTGGTGGCACTATGGTTGAATCCAGGTGAATGATGGAATCACAACCGTCCAAGATGGATACTGTTAAAAAAAGGAAGAGGGGGGTTGGCTTTCTAGGTTGGCCATTAATTCGAAACTGCTTTTACGTCAAGCTGGCACAGTTGGCAGTTGGATGGGTGGGGGAAGTTTTAGGCTTTTGACATTTACTTCTTATGTATGAAGTTTCAATTTTGCTTTTATTTGAGAAATTTTATCTTATTTCAAAAGTAATTAACAATATATATATATATATATATATATATATATATATAAAAGATATGAAAAGAGAGTAAAAAAATTAAAAAAGAGTTTACTTGGAAATATATTTATATTTTTTTTGTGTGTTTGAATGTAATGTTTTTTCTTCTCTGTGTTTGTCTTTTTTTTTTTTTTCTTCTTAAAATAAACACATAAAATAAGTATGGTTAATTACTTTTTAAATATTATAATTTTTTTTAACTTTTATCTAATGGACAAACGGGTCAAACCAATCATGTTAAGTTTCAATTCAAACTTCTTTCCAATTCATTATCTATCCTTCGAAGGAGTGAAAAAAAGAAGGACCGTTCAATTAGAGATGTGGATGAGAATTGATTTATTAATTCAATTTTTTATCCTACTCATCAAAAAAATATTCTATCAATTATGTATTAAAAAAAGCATTATATAAATCTTTAATATGCCCATAACCGACTCATACTAGTTTATTTATCTATTTAATACTCATTAAATAACCGTTAAATTTAATTTATAAAAAATATTCATTTTAGTCTTTATATATATATATTTTTTAATTTTATCTTTAAAATTTAACTTTTTTTTACATTTTGATCATTTAATTATAATTGTTTTTTATCCTCAAATATTTTGAAAAAAATATTTTGATACTTAATTTTTAAATTTTTATAAAATTAGATTCTTACGTGTTAATAAAAATTTTAAATAAATTAGTGACGATTTTACTAAACTCTGGCCATGCGGATTGAATTATACAATAGTAATTCTTAATTTAAATAAATTAGTGACAATTTAGTGATGATGTATTGATGGACCGTCGCTAATCCACGTCGTTTTGAAAGAAAATTAATGATGGTTTAATTAAATTGTCGCTAAATTTTATTTTAATTTAAAAATTAGCAACGGTTTAATTAAACCCTCCCTAGTTTTCAAATTAGAAAATGATCTACCGACCGGGCAAGAAAATTTAATAATAAATAAATAAAAACTTTTTATATATTTAACATTAGTATTCCTGCTAGGCATCTTGGTGCCGACCAGACAACCACTTTTTGTAGGTTTAATAACATTAGAGGTTTCTATCGTATTATTTTTAATAAAAATATCTTTATGTATTTAAATTGGACAATTACGACTCAATACTTTAGTTTGTAATTAGATAGTAAAGGTCCCTCCATCCACAGTCAATATAATTTTTTTATTATTAATTTAAACTTTTGAAGTCCTGGAGGGACACACGTCAATTTTCTTTTGGTTTTAGTTTCAAAACGATTAAAAATTAAAAAAAAAAATCATACAAAATAAAATCAATAGTTAAGAAGATTTGCTATTTTTATATATACATATACATCTGAAAAATATTTTTCAAAATTTTTATTTGATTGAATTTTTTTACGTTATTCTATAAAGTCAAACAGAACTATTTATTTATTCTGGATTTATTAATATTTTTTACAATTTTTTATTTTATTTTTATATTTCTAGTTGGTTTTTATTTTATTTTTAAAAGTCAAATAAAAATCTGAGGATATAAATAAATTTATGCAAAAAATAGAAAAGCTTGAACACCTAAAATCAAAACTTTCATAAAAAGCTAAATTGAAAAATCATGCATGTGAAAACAAAAAACACATTTATTACCATCCAGTGTGTTTTATCAATAAATCTATACTTGCACCTTATTTTGATTTACAATACCTAGCTGATCACTATAGTATTTTCTAATCAGTTTGTGGTAACAAAAATAAGTAAAAACAAAATACAAAAAATAAATAAATAAATTATTTATTTGTGTTTGGAATTTTTTAAAATAAAATAGAAAATTTTACCAGTGTGAATAAAATTTTTGAAAAAATAATAAAAAAATATATCCAATAGTAACTAATAAATAAATTGGCAAAAAATTATAATAATTTTATTTTTTATTTTTTTCTTTTGTGAACTTAGAACAAATAGAAAACTGAAATGTGTCCTTCCATGCCTTTAGAAATCAAATTAAAGGAAAATTGAGTTGATTATTGACGGAGGGATTTTTGTTGTCTAACAGATTAAACATAAGGATTTAATTGACCAAATTGAAATAGTAAGGATGTCTTCATTAAAAATCAATATCACAGAGCTTCTAGTTTCATTTAACCCTCTTTTGCGGTACAACTAAAAACGGTTAGTAATTCTCATGCTACACATTGACAGCATTAGGTGTCAATCCTTATCCCGTCGTTCTTTTCAAAATTGTTGTCCTACCACGCGGTTAAACAAGCTAATCCAACACTTTAGACAAAATTATTACTGTTTCTTATTTTTTATATTATCTATTATTTATTTACCACTCATTTATTTTTTAATTTAATTGACTAAAGATTGACCAATTTTTTCTATTGCCCATTATTTATTTGTCACTTATTTATTTTTTAATTTGGTTGACTAAAGTTTGACCAAGTTTATCTATGTTTTATTAAAAAGAATTATTATATGTAGGAGCTTAATTGCAAAATGTTTTCTAATTCAAAGACTAAGTTGTATACACTGAAAAATCAGAGGGCCAAATTTTTTAATCAAGTCTAAAATGTCATGAAAATAAAATATACCAAAAACCAAAATGATTTTTTACAAAAACTTCATCGGTCCTTGTCACGTCCTCTGTATCAAACACAAAATAACTGGTAATTGACTCACTGGTATACCGATGAGGCCCAATTTACCGCAGCCCAAGACTTCGGTTTTCTCTGATCTCACTTCTGAACCCATCACCACTTCCTTCAAATCAAAGAGCTCCTCGCATTGTTTTTTCCTTTTTTTTTTTTTTCTTTTGAAATACCTGTAGATTCATGTCGGAATTCGGAAACTGCAAGAAGATTTTTTTTTTTCCGATACAAGAAGAAAGAAAAGATTGTATATCATGTTGAGGCTCCTCCATATAATCTATCCATAACAAACCATTGGGTTTAATCCAGCCATAGCTTCCCCGTTTTACTACTAAGAAAAACGATTTGGAGTGGTATCTGAAAATGAGTAGACAAAAAAAAAAAAAAAAAAAAACAATATATTGATAATAAGCTTAAATGCTCCTCTCATTTTTCCGGGTTACTGGTCCTTTAAGCACTCAAAGAATGGGTCAAAGGTTTATAATATTTCTCTACTGTTTAATTTGCCTTAATCAGATCTTTTTATTAAATTCTCTTCTTTTTCTCTATCTTTATGAATATAAATAAATAATTAATTTCGCTACTTATTTTTTTCTCTCTTTCAAATTTAAACAAAAAAAGAAAATTTTTTATATATAGAAAGGAATAGAAGCTTTTTTTATTATTATTTTAGAAATTTATTATGAATTTTTTTGGGTTTGGATTCGAAAGAAATTTTCATAATAAATTTCTAAAATGAATAAAAAAATTGGCTTCTATCCCTTCCTATTCGTAAAAAAATTTCTTTTTTTTTTGTTTGAACGTTAGAGAGGAAAAAAAAAAAAAGAGGAGCAAAATTAATTATTTATTTTTATACATAAAGGTGGAGAAAAAAAGGAGAATTTTGGGATTTTTTTTTTCAATTTGTTTCAGATTTTTTTGCGATATTTTTTTATTTTTCTCTTTTTTTTTTTTTTGAAAAATTTAATGCCACATGTGATCCAATTAAGGGTAGAGTTATTCGTATTACCAACTCCTTCGACTATTTTCACTCTATAACTTTGTAAACTAACCAAATTCACCTTTCTAAAAGCACTTTCTTTATTCCTCTCTCTGTCTCTCTATATATGTATGTGTGTGTTAGGTTTGTTACATCACATGCATATGGGAAGAGAAACCATGACATCCTAAATTGATCGTAATTTATTGTTTTAATTAAAAATTCTACCATAAAACGATACAAGAATGAGATTTTTACTTCTAATTTATTGTTTTTAATGTTAAAATTAATGAAAAACTAACAGAATAATTAGATGAAAAATAGTTAGAAGAAAATTAAATTTCAAATTAAAAGTTAAAGAGAGGGATTTTTAAATAACTTGAAAGTTCATTGGACGTTTGAACCGGTTAACTGCCAAACATCACACGTGTTTGAAGGATGGATTCCATATGAGACTCACAATTATAGGATCACTGGCACGAGGGTAGGAATTTTTTTTTTTTTTTTTCCCTTTGAAAAACTAGAGAAACACGCAAGGAAAATAATTTTTTTTTTTGAAGAATCAAACTATTTCCTTTTATTTTGAGGAACAGGACCAAGTATGTCATCGTCGAGAGAGACAGTATTTTTTGTTTGTATTTAGAGGGTTGAACTTCTCAAGGAAAGTCTTCTAGAAAAGGATTAACTTTTTCTCTGGAGAGACTAAATCAAACAGATAAACCATATTATTAAAGAGGACAGGGTGAATTTTGTTAACCTTGGGGTGGCCTGACCTTGATTAGGTTCGTCCCTGAGCGGTATCCATTCATAAACGGCGATGGTTGGTCATTAGGAAAATCTGACTAAAAGAAGGTATAGGAGCATTCGGTCCGAGACAAACTAAAGATACAAATTAAAAAAGAAATAACAAATTAAAAGAAATCAAAGAAAAATTTTATAATACAAAAAAAATAATTAATTACATATATCATAGTTATTCTATGGATTTATTGTGAGGAAGGAGATAAATATAAAATAAAAAATAAAAAAAATTATGTCAACGTAAAAAATTTTTATCACTTTTTGTGGGTTTATACGTTATTCTCTCATTTTTATGTTTTTATCTTTTTCTTAAAAATAAATTCATAAAATAATTACTATATATATCACAAATTATTTTTTATGTATTATAAAATTTCTCAAAACCAATAACTATTTTTTTCCGTGGGAAAAAACAGGATTGATTTATTAAAAATAGTACAAAATTTACATACTAAATTGACAAAAAAAAAGAAAAAAGAAAAATCTAGTATGAAAGATCGACAAATTGTGGATGACACGTGCAATGTAAAAGTGGATGTCACGTTTATGTTTCGGTTGGGTGCACCCAATAACAAGAATTTAGAAGATCCTAGTACGATTGGGATATGGATTCGTTGGGCAATCTCTTTTTTGCCCAAACGTTGTTGACCGGTAGTTGTTGTCTTGAGCGGCAGTTAGCAGTCCTTGCTCAATGATAGTGCAGCTATGAGTGCCGACGGGGCAAATTTCCCGCCAATTCTTGACGCGGGACCTACCTTTTCTAAATCCAGTGGGTATGAGTCAGGAAAGCGACCATCTTCCAAAACGCTTAGTTTACTAATATTTGATTGTTGACCAAAGAGCCTTTCATCTTATAAAGACACTCTTTGTTCTAAGTGGGCAATGAAATTATGCAAGGACGGCGAGGGATGACGTTTCGAAAAGTAAAGTAAGTAGGTTTCTCTTGGTATTATTTGGTCTTTGGTGGGTTCCCGCTTTCAGCTGCTGCTATCTAACATTCATTCTCACGGCATCAGCCGTACAGTGAATTATTTAGTAAGATAAGATATATATTCAATGGATGGCAAGTATTAATTACCATTCATTTATATTTATACTTTTTTTTAAATAGCTGTTATCTAAATTATTCCAATAGTAATTTACATGGATGGATCACTCAAACGGCATACCCTCTCTTTCTTTTCTTTTTTTCATTTTTCTGATAATAACAAAAGCGTTTTAAATTTAGTATCAAAATTATTAATATAACATGTGTGTTGTGTAATTTATTTGTAGATATATTATTTTATCTGATATATAAGTTTAAGGGTAAACAGTGATATTTATTTAGATTGTTTATAAAATCCCAAGTATAAACATTTTATCATGAATTTTCAATTCCAACTAAATACAAATAATTACACTCTTAATATATATAATCACGTTCACAATAATTAAATTTTTAAAAGATATTTAAAGATCCACACACCAAATGCTCTTTTTTTTTCATTTGCTATTTGAGAAATAAAAAATCATTTTCATCTTTTCTTTTTCATTTTTTGATCTGAACAACAGGTTAATATCACAATAAAATTGTTAAATATGAGCTTGACATTTGAACAAAAGGTTAATATCACAATAAAATTGTAAAATATGAGCTTGACATTTAAGAATTTTTTATTTTCAGTAACCGGAATTGAACATTTTTGGACTGAATGAAGAAATTTCATTTACTAAAACTAACAAATCTACAGTGAGAGTTGATGAATACTGATAATTTTATTTATTTATAACCGCAGTAATAAATATTTTTTATGATTCAGAACTCTTATCCTCTCCCTTCTACGCAATTTCCTTTTTCGCTTTTTTTTTTCTGCAGCAATAGGATCGGATTTATGAGGATGAATGATGTTGAACCACAAGCGTTTGATAAACAAAAAGAATCATTTTCTCACCGGCCACTTTTCTTTAATTGCCGACCATTATCGTTATAACAAAACACTAGCCATTGGTTTCTCTTGATCCTCTTCTACTTCTATTTTATTTCAACACCGATCCATATGCAGATCAAATCCTTGTACACTTATAATTGCTATTCAAAGCCAACTTATTAAGCTAATAACAATAACGCTTGAGTTCAATGATCTTTTGTCTTATGCTGAATTAATTAATTAAACCCGCTAAAAAATAAATAAAAATTACTTGAAAAGTCAAACTTAAATACTCCCAGAATAGGAATCGCCCATTTTGCCACTTTAATTATGTAAATGATTGTAATTATTGGATGATCATTTATACTCTGTTTAGAACATTACTTTTTTCTCATCTCTATTTTTTTTTTCAACTTTTTGAATTCAAAATTTTTAAATTTTTTTATTAAATGTGTCGTTACTTGACTTTCGTGGAACTTCCGAAAAATTTAAGATTTGTTATAAAATAATGAATATCCATATGAATATCCATCTACTTTTCATATCCCTACTACTCATGATCCTTAATGTGATTCAATTCACCATTCAATATAAGAAATTGAAAGGGTGATGCAATTGATGTACTTTTAATTATTCATAGTCCCTTTCAATTCTCATCTCAATTTTGAAGCCTATAAATAGGCTTGATTGTTCATTTGTTGATGTACAAGTTTCTTAGAGAGAATAAGAAGAACTTTGAAGTTCTTATCACTTATATTCATATTATAGTGATTTCATTTTCTTGTCATCCTTTTCTTCAATTCTCCTATCATTTCTATTTATTTTATAACACGTTATCGCACGAAGCTCTAACCAATCGAGATAATAGACCATGAGGTATGTAGCTATCAAAAAATTTAATCAATTGTTTCAACAATTGAATTTCTTCTACACAAGTGCTTTACCAAAAGATCTAAATTATTTAGATCATTAAGAGGTATGTATCTAATTTATTCATGTACTTTAAATCTATTGATACTTGAAATATATATTTGAAAAACTTAAATGATCTACTAATGATCTAATATATGTTATTTGAAAAGCTTTAATTTTATTATTATATTTATTTTCTAATATTATTATTATATATTGTATTATGAATTTTTATCATATCAAACCTCATAAACTTGATTTGGTGACTCTTGATATTTTGAATAAGAATTATTGATTATGAGTGCTTGATTTAAAAAAAAAATATTCTCTACTTTTTATGTCTTGGATATGCTCATGCAGTAGCATATCGAGAAAAGAGTTTAAGAAATATTTTGGATCGATTTTATATTTGTTAGTGGCTAAATAAAATGAAAAAGAATAAATCTCATCCAATTGGATCTACTCTATTCCCCGAAGTGAATGTGACAATTTATAATAATTTTAGACATGGATGAAGATGTGGTCATAGACATGGATATGGTGGAAATAATTATCATTATAATTGTAATGACCATAATATTATATCTCACTACCGAAGTGGATAACTATGAAAAAAAAAGGAAATAAAAATAGATAAAGTCGGTATTCTGAAAAATAAATATTATAGATGTGGAATGAATGAATATTGATCGTGTACTCGCCGTACACCAAAGCATCTCATTGAGCCTTGTCAAGCCTTATTGAAAAATAACGAGTAAAATATGAAGGCCACTTTTATATATCAAAGTAATAGTAATTGAAATTAATTATTTGTTAGTTTTTCTATTTATAAATAAAATATTTTATATTTATTATAATTTATGTCATATATTGATAGTTACAAATTTATTTTACTATTTATTTATTTTGTTTATGTTTATGAAGCATATATTGATTTATTTATTTTGTATTGATTTATTTGATTATTTATTTTATGTTAATATTATATATGATAATATCAATATAATAGAAAGCTCTAGAAGAACGACTATATTATTATCTAAAGAGATAGATTTTGAAGACTCTAGAAGAGCGATTATATCATGACTTGAAGAGATAAATTTTTGAAGCTCTAGAAGAGTGAATAAATTATTGCTTGAAGAGAAAATTTTTAAAGGCTCTAGAAGAGTCGATATATTATTATTTGAAGTGACTAATTTAAAGGCTCCGGAAGAGCAAATATGTTATTATCCGAAAGGATAAATTTATTATGAATGATGTACTATTCTCTTCAAAGTCTCATGGATATTTGTTGAGTTTCAAAGATATTTATCTAAATTGATATTATATCAAGATAGCAAATGCGAATTCTTATATGTTATAATCATTATATCGGGTAAAAAATATCTATCAAAAAAAATTTATCTCGTTTTCTCTTGTAGTCTTTGTTACAAACATTGAAATGATTGAAACCAATATTATAGTAAACCGAAGTTTACTAATTCAAATACTTTTACTATGTGACATAACCAATTGTGTTATCTCGGGTCTTTCATGATGCGAAAAGATTATTAAAAAAATTATATGAATATCTATTGAAGAGCCGGAAGATTCTTCAATTTAATGAACTTTCATGCTTTGCATGTTGCCAAGGTAAATTGATGATTAAGCCATCATCAAGTAAAATTGAGATTGAATCTCCGATATTTTAGAATATATTCAAGGTGATATATATGGATTAATTCATCCACCATGTGGACCATTTAAATATTTTATAATTTTGATAAATACGTCCACAAGATGGTCACATATATGCTTATTATCTACTCGAATCCCGACGTTTTCGAGATTGCTAGCAAATAATTTGATTTTGAGCATAATTTTCAAATTATGCCATTAAAACAAGTCACCTTGATAATGCTCGATGAATTTATTTCTCAAGCATTAAATTATTATTGATTGGCTATTGAACATCCTGTTGCTCATGTTCATACTAAAAAAGGTTTAGCAAAATCATTTATCAAAAGGCTCCAATTGATAGCTAAACCATTATTTAAAAATAAAACTCCCCGTTTATGTTTGGGGATATGCAATCTTACATGCAACAACACTTATTCGCATATGACCCATAAGTTATCGAAATTCTCTCCTCTTTAATTGATTTATGGTCATAAGCCAATTATTTCTTATTTAAGAATTTTTGGCATTGCAATATATATCCTTAGTGCTCCTCTATAATGAAATAAAATGAGCACTTAAAAGAGATTGGGAATATATGAATCCTCTTCGATAATTTAATCTCTTGATTCATGAATAAGAGAAAATTTTTACAGTCTCGATTTATCGACTATCATTTTGATGAAATAGTTTTTCAGCATTAGGGAGAGAGAATAAGCAAAATAAGCAATTGAAAATGTTGAAAAAAAAAGATTACATGGAGTACTCTATCTTTATATCATACTAAATCTCATACAAAATAATGTGAACCGAAGTTCAAAAGATAATTCATTTATAAGGTATTAGAAACCGACTCGCTAGATGCATTCTTAGATCCTAAATGAGTAACTATAATGCATGTCCCCGTTGAGAATGCTCATATTAGAATTGATGTTCCGGAAGGACGATCTATTAATGTTATAGCTAATAAATCTAAAGCACGCTCGAAGCGTAGAAGACCGATCGGTTCTAAAGATAAAAATCCCTAAAAGAAAAGGGCAAGATGAAAATATTTACAAAATGGTCCAATATATTTCGATCATAGGCTTCCGGAGGAAGTCCAAATACTTGAGAAAAATCAAGAGATTTTGATAAATTATATTAACACAAGGAGAAAATAGGACCGAAAAGAAACATCTATTGATAAGATTTTTGCATATAATATTGCAATTGATGTTATGGATGAAAATAAGGATCCCGAGCCTAAATTATTGAAGAATGTCGACATAAAGATGATTGGCCTAAATGAAAAGAGCAATCTAGGCAAAATTATGTTCTCTTATAAAAGAGTAGTTTTTTGAACCCATAGCTAAAACACTCGAAGATGTTAAGCTAGTGGGATACAAATATGTATTTATGTGAAAATAAAATAAGAAAGATGAGATTATAAGATATAAAGCAAAACTTTTAACACAAAAGTTTTCGTAAAGAATTGACATTGACTATGAGGAGAAATATTCTCCTATAGTGGATGCAATTGTCTTTTGTTGTCTCATTAGCTTGGGAAAATATATGAAAACATTCATGTGCATGCATTTAATGAATGTGATCACGGTTTATTTGTTCATTTGAAATGAAATAAGTATGAAAGTCCTAGAAGGACTTGACATGCCGAAGCATGTAATACATATTCTCGAGAAAAGAATTCAATTAAATTATAGAGATCTCTATTAGGATTATTTTAGTATTTTTTTTATTATTTTGGTTTTTAGAAATTCAATTTATACTTCTTATATTTTATTTTATATCTATTGTTTATTACTAACCCGTGTGCATGTGATATAATCACTTCAATGATTATTTCTTGAAGAAAAGTTATAAAAAATAACCCTATTTGTTCATATGTTTTTATTTGAAAAAGGGTTTGTTTTATATGTTGATAACTTAAATATTATTGAAACTCCTGAAGAGATTCCAAGTGTCATAAGTTACCTAAAAAGAGAATTTGATGTAAATATCTTGGGAAAACAAAATGTTATCTTGACTCGCAGTTCGAGCACTCAAAGAATGAGATTTTCATTCATCGGTCAATTTATATAGAAAAAGGTTCTACAATATTCTATATAAAGATCATTCATTGACCAGCCCAATGATAGTTCATTCACTTGATATCTAAAAAGACCCTTTTTGACCTCGAGAAGATAACGAAGAACTACTTGGTCCCGAAGTACCATATTTTAGTGCCATCTGGTGCGTTGATGTATCTTGCTAACAATACTCGACTTAATAGAGTCTTTTCTATAAATTTATTAGCAAGTCATAGTTCCGTTTCAATATAGAGACATTGAAATAAAGTTAAATATATACTACGTTATCTTTGAGAAATAATTGATATGGGTTGATATTACTCCAATAAATGAAAGACAAGATTAATTATGCGGATGCGAGTTATTTAACCGATCCATACAAAGCTCGATCTCAAATTGGTTATGTATTTACATATGAAGATACAGCTATATCATGACGTTCTATGAAGCAAACTATAGTCGCCACATCTTCAAATCGTGCGTAAATATCAATTCATGAGGCAAGTCAAGAATATGTTTGGCTAAGATCAACAATCCATCATATTCGAGAGATATACGGTTTATCTATCAGCAAAAGAAGTTCCAATAATATCATATAGGATAATGCTCGCTTGCATAGTTTCATTAAAGGAAGAATACATCAAAGTGACAATCCAACAGATTTGTTCACTAAGGTGTTAC